CTCCCTAGACTGTAGACTTCAAGAGGGCAGGGGATTTTTTTTTAATCTCTTATTCAGTCTGCCCTGTCCCCAGCATCTCAGTCATCCTGAACACCATAGAGGGTCAGTAAATATTTGTTGGGTGAATGGACTGAGGGTGGAGAGGAGCACCCAGCAGGAGTCCTGTCGGTTAGAGTCTTTCCCTTTAGAATCCTCATCCTAAACCATTTTTCTTGTTCTTCTCTATTTGTTTTGGTAACCCTTTGGTAATGTGAAACCTTAGAAGAATTTTCCAGTGTGCCCTTAACCCTACGCAGAGCTACTGATGAAAATGTCCATGCTTTCCTAAAGGAAGGCTTGTGCATGCCCCAGGACGGGGAGTTGGTGAGTGCTACCTGCAGAGTTCACCAGGTTGCGAGAGAGAAGCTGTGTGTTTGGGGCACTGCCCCCTAGGTGTGCTCCTGTGATAACTGGGGGCTTCACCGGCTGCTGGGGCTGATGCCAGCCCTGAAGACCTGCTCAAGGCTGATGCTGGGGGGGTTCCAGTTTGCGTGGTTCCACTGGCTCTTTTGTCCCCTACACCTGTCCCCTGGGCTGTGGGCCCATATAGAGTAGGATGAGCACTGTGTCAGGGTCCAGCCTTTCCTTACTCGGATTCTAAAGGTTTCTTTTCTGAAACAGCCTCGGGGAAAGGAGGGATGGAATTGGGGTGGGGGAGAGAGTAGAGTGGGAAATCTGACTTCTTCTTTCTTTCTTTCTTTTTTTTTTTGAAGATTTTTTCTTTATTTATTTATCCGAGAGAAAAAGAGAGAGAGCTTGAGAGGAAGAGAGAGAGCACAAGCAGGGGGAGTGGCAGGCAGAGGGAGTAGTAGTTTCCCCGCTGAGCAGAGAGCCCAGTGCAGGACACATTCCCAGGACCCTGAGATCCTGGCCTGAGTCAAAGGCAGACGCTTAACTGACTGAGCCACCCAGGGGCCTCCTGACCTCTAATTTCTAATGGAAAGCCACCATGGGGATCTCCAGCAGATTCTGCTGGGGTCAGAGAGCAGGAGGGAGCCTTGGAATCACTGGGAGCGAGTTTGAGATCTCACCAGTGGCGATGGGAGTTGCAGACACATCTCCACTAAAGAAGGGAATTTGGGTGCTGGGACCAGAAATGGGCTGCAGTAGGAAAAGAAGGGGAAATAAAGTGCCCTATAGGATTTCTGTAGTTTTGGTTTTCCTAAAGCTTCTGATACGGCCAGATGGCAGGGGCCAAAGTCCCAGGGAACTGGAGATAGGAGAGAAATGCTTCTCTGTTTTGCCTAACGAAAGGTCACAGTCTAGCAGTTCAGTTAGTGAAGGGCTTCGAAATGGAGCAGAAACCTACAAAGGCAAACTCAGAGGATGCGTCTGACCCCTCACTCTTGATTCAATATTCATTCAGAGCCAAGCAAGCCTTGGCAAGCATGGGTATAGCAGAGAAAGCCGCTTTGTGAAACAAAAGGAAACTTCCGGGGCATATCCTTTGTCAGAACACCCAGCCAGCCCTTAGCAATCTAGCCTTCTGGTCTTATTTCCCATGAGATACGTCAACATATCCTGTCTTTTCACACCTTTGTGCTTCAAATACTTACCCACATTCGCAGCCTAAGGGAGGAGGCTGGCTGTATGTCACCCCCCACCCCTCCAACCCCCGCCCCAGGCTTTTTGCTGGACAGTCAGAACTCCTCCTTTTCTTTTTCTCTGGTTCTCATTACCCTTTATTTCTAACTCTGATAGCATAAGGCTTGGAAAAAAAAAAAAAAAAACCTGAAATCTGCCTATTCCTTGCACCTGAATATAAACCCTTTGAGGCAAGGACGGTGACTTCTTCATCTTTGACTAACTCGGCCCTGTTCTGAGGGGGGAAGGGTACATCTCTTTTCCCTCGCCCCAGTCCTGCAGTACCTAACACACGGTAGGATCTCAGGGGCTTTCTGCCGCGTCGAAGTGGTTCTGGGTTGATCAGATGAACGCAGTCCGCAGTAGGCCAGCCTGTCTCTTCTTCCCCTCCCCACTCCGCGCAGTGACCCGCTCTGTGGCTGGTACACCTTGCTCCTGGCTCCTTCGTACTTTTATGGCAGGGGGCACTGCTGTTTGCTTTTCTTAGTCCTGACCCCGCTGTTCTCCCTTTGATCTCAGCTGCCTGCCCCAGCTGGCCCCTGCCATTGTCCTGCCTGCGGAGCTAATGTTTCTCCTTTGCAAGCTTGGGCCTCTCCACCTCCTCTTCCTTGTACACTCTGAGGATAATGCCATCACGGAAGCAGTGATGCTGGGGATGGCTGGACTGAGGGATGGCCTCAGCCCCACCAAGGGTTCCGGGTGGGGTCAGCTTTTCTGGTAGAACGTCTGGATTCTCTGCTTGCTTCTCTTTTGTCACCTGAGGGAGCTTGTTCCTGAGCTGGCTGGGAATTCAGGCAAGTGATCTGTGATGGGAGCCACAGGTGGTTGTGGCCCTGGGAAAGAAAGGCTGTGTGGCTCCTGTGACTAAAATTCTGCTGTTTAGAGAAGGAAATAGGGTAGTCATACGCCTCGGCCCTGAGGTCAGCCTGTTTGGGTTCTAATCCTGCGGAGCTGTTTACTAGTTGGACCATGTCAGTAAGATGGGGTTACACTAGTGCCTACCATGTTCATGTACCCCGACCCCAGTCCAGGTGCCAGGGAAACAGCAGGAAAAAAATAAAATGGGTCAATACACTTAAATTCTTAGAACAGTGTCTAGCACATAGGAGATATGCAGCAAATGTACCACTGTTCTCTTTCTTTTGTTTTTAAAAGATTTTACTTATTTATTAGAGAGAGAGAGAGCATGAGCTGGGGGACAGGCAGAGGGAGGGGGAGAAGCAGACTCCCTGCTGAGCAGAGAATCAGGATGTGGGACTTAATCCCAGGACCCTGAGATCCTGACTTGAGCCAAAGGCAGACGCTTAACAGACTGAGCCACCCAGGCGTCCCCCAGTATTCTGTTTCTAGTACTTTTCTGAGAGTACTCAGGTGGGATAACTTCCGGCAACACCTGCAGGACCAGATCTCTCGGAGATGGGGAAAGATGGAGGAAGGTCCAGGATATCAGTTCTGTATTTGGGCTTAGGCTCGGGACGCACCGGCTTTAGTGGCCTTTCATTTCTGCCACTTTGTTTGGAGACTCAGTTCAGGATATGGCTGAAGAGTGCCCTAAAAAACGTAGGCGTCTGTCTGGTTCCATAGAAGGGGCAGGAGGGCAGGAGGGCAGGAGGGTGGGGAATGGGTTAGCGGAGACTCTGCCTCGTCCATTTGTACCGGCAGCACCCGGCCTCCCGAGCCCTGCGTGCAGGAGCCTAAGAGAGGCCACGTTCCTGGAGCCATCTGAGGGAGGTCCTGGAGATGGGAGAGATAAGGAAGGAGAACAGCTGTTGGCCTGTCCACGGTCGGGGCTCTCTGGCTTCGGAGAAGAGGACATGTTTTCAGAGGACGTGGCTGGGGGAGGCTGAAATTAAGGAGAGTGAGGGGAGATGGAGGTGTATGGCCTGATAGTTTACCCACCCCCCCCAACCTCCCCACCCGCTTCCAGTTTGCTCCTCGGGGCCCTTTCACTCCTGCAGTGATCGCTGGTCAGAAGCAAAGTTCTGACTTTATTTGTGGTTTCCAGTGAAAGTCCAAGCCTGACGGAGTCCTGACGGACCAGGCTCGGAACACAAGTGCATGCTGCGTTTCCTGGGGATCGACAAGGGTTTCCGCTCTCACCATCCTTGGGGAGAGATAATCCTGACTGTGGTTCAGCAGCTGCTTGCCTGCTTCTCCTGCTTTCTCTCTTTCATCCTTCTCCCTCAGCGGCTTCTCAGAAACGAATGCCTTTATGGCACAGAGCACGTGCCCTTGACGCGAGCTGTGGGTCCACCCAGGGTTCTCAGGTGGGCGCACTGTGAGCTACTGGCACGGCTTCCCTCCGAGGCCGGCTAGCTTGGCCGGGAACCAGGACAGTCTGCCTGCACAGGTGAAGGCATTCTGGGTCCTTTCCAAGATTGCGAAGCGCAGCAAGGTTTGGGACCCCTGGATACCGGACGCCTTCATCTCGTTTTTACTGCCCTTGCTTCCGTCTCCAGCCGTCACTTCAAGTCTGTTAAGCCGAGTGCGTGAAACTTGAACTAGGCAAAGCATTTTCCTGTGGATATAAATCCACAGTTCATTCACAGCTAAGGAAACAGGTACATAGGATGTGATGAGAGCAGGATTTCTCAACTTTCTCCCCCTCCTCATCTTGCTCAGGAACCTAAGGCACTTTTTCCTAATCCCTACCCCTCAGGAAATTTTAATACCACAGGGAGAGCAAAATTCTGTTTGTGTACTGTATGTAGACATTTCATACCGTAAAAGAGTAAGATTTTTTTCACCCCTCAAGAGCCAGTTTTCTCCCCTCTTGGGGGAATGATCGCCCCCATTTGTGGGTTTGTGGATTGCTGTAAAGCTACGTAAAAGGGCCGGGAAGCCTCCAAATCTTTGCACACTTTAGTCCCCCCGCCCCAATCCCCTCTGAGCAAACACCACAGCTCCATAATTTAGTCTTGTCTCTCAGTCTTTCTTATTTTGCTCTTTCTCCCCTTTCCTGCATTTCATCCTTATTCTCTCTCTAGTGTGGAACTTTAGGATGGAATGTGAGTAAAACGGTGATCTGTTTAAATTGTCAGGGACAATTTAAGTAAGATGATTTCCTAAAACAGTCCTCTCAGAGGTCAGCCCTTTGGAAGAAAGACCCTAGAGACTCTTGGGCAGATACCCCAGGGGCATTCATGGGAAAACACAATAGGTATTGGGGGGAATTAAAGATGTGCTTTTGGAGTTGCCTTTCAGAGAAGACCTCACAATCGGTCTTTATACTGTTCCCAACAAGGTATGGATACGTTGGATCAAACTTCCCTGTATAAATTCTTTTATGGTTGATGCCACTTCTGCCAATGGGATATCAAACTGCTTTTCTCTGTCAATATAGTGTAACCAATGACAGCATCTCCTCTCCCCTCTAGAAACTACCAGAGGCATGTGGTGTGGGTGACGGAAGACCCTTTGTCATGAACTTACAGAGTCTGTATATGGCGGTCACCAGACAAGAGATCCAAGTGAGACAGAAACATCCGGGCAGCGGTGAGTAGCTCCGGAAGTACTTGGTCTCCCTGGGGTTAGAGTTCCGCCCTCCAATGTGGTAGCTCTCGCCCCTTGTGAATATTTCAGTTAAATACAAATGAAACAAAATGAAAAATTCCTCTCCTCCTTTGCTGTAGCCACACTTGAAATGCTCAGTAGCCCCACGTGGCCGGCAGCTACCAGGTCAGACAGGGCAGATGGAGAACATTTCTATCATTGCAGAAACCTCCACTGACACTGGTCTGAATCTTCAGCGCAGAAGCAGGGCTTCCCAAGAGTCAGCTGGAGGTTGGACTCGTAGCTACTTCTGTCTGTTTATATTATTAATCCTGAACTCTGACCTCGATCAGAATGCTTGCTAAATGCTAATGCCTCCCTGGTAAGAAGAAGGTATTTACCACGGTCTTCCCTTGATCCTTCTGATTTCAGGAGATCCTCAGCTCTCAAGCAGCACCTCCCCACAAGGGACTGAAAACCAACTTCTGAACGAGCCAGAAGAGCCAGTCTCCTCGGCGCCATCCCTCCCAGTGCCCGAGAAAGAGCCCACAGTGAGTCACGCACCTGCAGCCCCCGAGCCAGATGTCCTTGACTTGTCACCTCATTGAGATTCTGCCTTAACCGTACTGGAGGATATGTGTGACCAGGCCGCCAGATGACGGATTTCTGGAAGGGAGTCATGGTCTTTCACATCTTCCCTTGATACTTCCTCTCTGCCATTCCTGTACGGAGTGAAGGACCTTGACTCCTTTCCTTCCTTATCCCACTTCCAGTGATGGTCTGGGAGGTTGTTCCCTGGGGGGAGAAGGGGTGTACGCAGGGCACGGGGTCTTAGATCACATTCGTTGCCTGACACGGCCTTCAGAACACCTGTGTCAGCCCCTCACCCCCACCAGAGCCACGGGAGCAAGGAAGTTTCTCTCCTGACTTAGGTGGATCTGTTCAAAACCTCTGTTAACTCAGGTTCCTTTTCTTTCTAGGGTCCTTCAGGCCCTGTGCAGAGACCTCAGCTGTCAAAGGTCAAGAGGAAAAAGCTAAGGGGGCTCTTCAGTTAGCCCATCACTGTCTCGACTGCTGAGGACGGACTAGAAGAGCTTCCTCGTGTCACCTTGAGAGGAGCTCCCATGGCAGCAACATCTGTGACACGGAGTTATATAGTCAGAACACCACCACCACCCCCCCACCGCAAGGCTGAGATAACAGAAGTTCACACGGACAGGCCTGGGTACTCTTAACCCTGGGGAATCTTGGCTCCACCCATTGGGCACTGGCCTTCCCTAGCCGAGTGGAAGCCAGCTTCCGAGAGTCCCAGACCTTCCTCTTTTGTTGGAGGTTCTCCAGACCCAGGATCCTACCGTGGACTCTAAGCACAGAGGCCAAGTCAGCAAAAAGGCACAATGCTCTCAGGAAGCCTTGTCCACCTTTCTCAAGAGCCCCTAGCCAACCCCAGGTGCTCCTCAGAGACCCACTTCTCTCTTAAGCATGGAATAAAAAGCACTCACACTCCCCTGCTTTCAAGATTGCTTATTCTGGGGAACATAGAACCAACTTCTTTCGCTCTACTGGGCCCCACCCACTGTTGTCTCTAGATGAAGTTCAGGCCCTCGATCTGCTCCTTCAGATTCTTCTCATGCTTCTCTCGTTGTGGCCTGTGCTAAGCCTCCATTTGGGACCTTTGATCTTGAGAACTCTCTCCGTGGTGGGCACAACACAGCACAGATCGCTGCCGCTCTCCTTTGCCCAACATCATGTAGGGTGTTTTATTGTTTTGGGGGGTTTTTTTGTCTGTTTCCAAGGCATAGACAACAGACTAAACCACAGTCTGGGATAAAAATTATAAAGAGCTCCGAGCACAAGGGCTGAGGTAGTTTCCCACTGGAGTGGGAGAGACTTCATGCCACTTCAAATAACATGGCAACTAGGAAAACTTGAAAAGGTAGGACGGCAGGGAGCAGGAATGGGCACAGAGTTCTCTGGGACAACGGAACTGGCCTAGAGAATGAACAGCGCCTTAGCAGGAAGAAGGGCAAAGTTTCTATGAGGTAGGCAGCATCCTAGGGAGAAAGTCAACTCTTTGGACAGATCGGGCAAGACTTAGCATCCCAGGATTGGCAAAGTCCCTTGGGCTTTCCGGCTAGGTTCTCCTTACTAGGTAAGACCCTCTGAAACACGACTTGGGAGAGACAGGAAGGAAAGTCGAGCTCAGATGTTCATGGGGAGCTGTCGGGTGGAGGGAGGCATCGGGGCAGGACCCACGGACGCCTCGCCTGGTTTGTTTACTTATCATGGTCAAATGCCTTCCCATCCCCACGCCTTCCCTGTCTGGGACAGGTGTTTCTGTCCTTACGTCAGGTCATGGGGAAGAGGACAACCCAAGCAATAATAAAATAATAATGATTATAAGGAGAACAGCACAGATATAAGCAGCTAACAGGTACTAAGCAGTTAATGCACACGAGGTGCCCTGATAAGCGCCTCACGTTGAATCCTCACAGCATCAGAGAGGGAAGATACTGTTCACCCACTTGGAAATAGAGTCTGGAAGCGATTAAGTGACTTATCAAAGGTCACACAGCTAATAAGTAACAGCCAGCATTTAAACGGAGACTGCTGAGCTCTTAGCCGCATGTATGCACTGACCAACGTCTCTGTTCTCCGGGAAGGGTGTTAGGCCTTCTTTCTTTCTTCAGCTGTGACCCTCCTTCTCCCAAGGTCCTGCCTCCTTTCAGGAGGATCTCCTGGTTGCCACTGGCTCCTCACAGCGGGGGGCTCTCAGTACTCCAGGGGCCCCATGCTTTCACCCGACCAGGAGAGTCTGTGGGCTCCCCCAGGGCTCGTTCCCAGGCACCACCAATAACGGCTTCTGGACCACAGCACCCTAAGACGCGCCCCACCATCCGGACTGTCATCGAAGTGAACTGGGGACTATGTACAAACAAGCCCTCAGGTGGCTCACTCTGTTCCCTGGTTTCTTTTTGGCATAATTTAGACAAGCCAGATTCCGGTATCGATGAGGTATGAGACCACAAGGAAAGTGGGAAGACTTCCCCAGCAAGCTGAGTCAGGGGGAAATAAGGGTTCTTCACCTTGGATAATCCCTCTGTGTTAAGACCACGGTGTCAAGAGCATGCATTTTTTTTTAAAAGATATTTTTTATTTATTTGACAGAGAGAGAGAGGTCACACGTAGTCAGAGAGGCAGGCAGAGAGAGAGGAGGAAGCAGGCTCCCTGCTGAGTGGAGAGCCCTATGCGGGGCTCGATCCCAGGACCCTGAGATCATGACCTGAGCCGAAGGCAGAGGCTTTAACCCACTGAGCCACCCAGGTGCCCCAAGAGCATGCATTTTTTAAAAAATTTTTAATTAAAAAAAAAAAAATTGGAGCCCACTGAGGAACTTGAACTCACAGCCCTGAGATCAAGTCAGAGGCTCAACCAACAGAGCCACCCAGGTGACCCAAGAGCATGCATTTTTAATCAGAGAGGGCCCAGGGGGTTGTGAATCCCCTGAAATTGTGAATAAAATGCTAAGAGCGTAACTTTTTCACATTCTCGAAAGAATGTGTGACTTTTTTAAAAGGTTAAGTAAGAGCACACCTAAGCGATCTCCCTGCCACCGCACTGTCCCCTTCACCCCAAAGGTTGCTGCCTCCGTAGGGATTTGCCTAAACACATCCTTCGAGGCTCTGCCCTGAGTGGGTATCCTTGCCCCTCAGAGCTAGGGGTGGTGATTGAGAATCCTGGGGGCAACTCCAGGGAAATCCCAGCCTCTACAAATTGGCCTAGCCAGGCTGTACTCCAGCCCTGCCCCCTGGCTTGGGCCCCTCCCCAGGCCCCCAGCCTGGCCCAACCCCCACCCCACATGCACATAAAAGGGTCGAATTCTCGTGGCTGCTCCATAAATTTTATTCCGTAAATATTAGTTTTCCCTGTGTTTAATAAAGCAGTGGCCCACCTCCCCGCCTACCCGCCCGCTCCCCGGGGCCGGGGCTGGGGCCAGGGCTGGCTGTTGGGAGAAGGGACTCTTTCAATTGCTTTGGAGTATTTTTAGAAAAAAAAATAATATAAGGTGGTTTACAGGAGCAAGCCAGCAAACCAGGAGCAGGACTAGGGACCTCGAGGAAGTTCTTGCAACTTGACCTAAAAAATAGGGAAATAGCGCCACCTAGGCTGCCAGGCCTATTTGGCCTCGCGGACAGGCGCCCCTGCCCCCACAGTCAGCTGGGACAGTCAAGCTCTTTGCTGGAAGAGAAATCTTCGTCCCTTAGCCGGCCAGCTGGGCAGCACCTCCTTCGGCCCGGCCTGACTGAGGGCTTCCCAGCAGCCTTGAGGGCAGCGCCCTGGCCACCACCTGGAAAAAATCCCACCAGGGTCATTCTCTGCTCTGTCACATCTCCTAGATCAAGGAGTGTTTCCAAAGGATAGAAAAGTTATTGAGAAGGGAAAAAGGAGCTTCTAGTCTCCATCTTCCCATTGAACCTGGAGGATCTGACCCTGGAATTTCTGGAGTGTAAGGAAGCAAAGAGATCAGTGCTCCTAAGTTCCAGACGAGGAAAGATTCTGTCCCTTCCCCGGGGTCTGATGAACTTCACCTCCACGGAGCACTTGGGGGGAAGGAGAGAAGGTCAAGACTCCCAAATACTCAGCCCTACTGCTTCTTAATTTTATCTGGTGGTACATTTGAATTCCCACATCTTGCCTTCCTGTTCGCTGAAACCTCCCGTCTCCCCCAACTCTTACCTCTGCTCCTCAACTGGGCGGTTGGGAGATGAGCAGGTCCGCCTCTGGATAGCGACAGTGGGGTGGGGCGGGGGGGATGGAAAAGGCCACAGCTTGGTCTTGTTCTCCTTCTATCCACCATTATGCTGTCCCTCGTGTTCTCTTATTTACAAAACTAGGAAGATCTGTTCCCGAGAGTACAGGGGCACCCTAAAATCCTCTTAATAACCCATCCTCACGATGTAATAAGCTCTTTCTCTGTTCTGCCTACCCCCTCGTTATTTGAGCTATTAATGTCATCTGTGTTATACACCTATTTCCTGTGTGCCTTCTGTTTTCATCCTTTCATACTCTCAAGGAGTAAAAATACTCTTTGAGAACAGAGTCCGCTTTTGACCCTAACTCAGAAAATATCACCATGGTGGGATTATACTAGCAAACGGTGCAACTTCATGTTAACTGGGTTTTGATAAGATCTGGATGTATGCTTTTCTTTCTTTTTGAAGTAATCTCTACCCCCAACATGGGGCTCGAACTTGCAACCCCAGGATCAGGAGTTACACGCTCTACCCACTGAGCCGGGCAGGCACCCCAGGATGTGTGCTTTCCTAAGCTCTGCCCTGAAGTATTTTCTATATTCTAGTTTTCCCAAAGAAGAAACTGTTCAAAAGGAGTAGTGACCTACTACAGGAAGCCCCCGCCTCGGAGCCAGAGCCTTGGCTCTGGGTTTCTAGACCCTGTTCCTGACATCAGTAAATACGTGGGCTCACTGACTTGCACTGGATTATGCTGGGCACTCAGTTACGGAGAGGAACAATGGAAGGGAAGGGAGCCCCACTTTGGAGGGAGAGATTTCCCAAACCGCCACGACCTTCTGGAAGCTGCGAGTTAATCTTGTTGCTCCTTACTGCTCTATTCCTCCCCGCACCCCCACTGCGTCGGACAGGGCATCAGAAGACCCCATCCTGAGGGGAAACATCCAGACAGGGAGAGTCTGAATTAGCTTGTGTGCATGCGCATGGGTGACGCAGAGGGACCTAAGGGATCCCTCGTTCCTTGAGCTGCAAGCCCAGCTGTCCTCTGTCTTTTGTTCCAGACCCTTGGAGGAATACTTTTCCATTTCCCGAGGTGCTGCCTTATGGTGGTTCCTCAACTCTGGGGTCTCATTTCTTTACCCTGGCTTCCAGGAAGTCATGACATGGCACCAAAGCCTTCCAGCAAAGGCTCCTTTGCTCTTCCAAGCTGTTAAGTCCTACCCGTGCTTGGTCTCTCTCTCTCTGGGAGCCCAGCACATTCTGCTGGGCCCTCTACACTCCCGGACCCTTTGAATGCGGCTAGCCTCTCAGCACCTAACTATCATGGGTTCCTGAGAGTCTGGGCCAGCTCAGGGGAACCCGGAAGAGGCACTGGAAGGACTCCAGGGTGTGGGGAGCACATAACCATTGACTCACCTGGGAAGATTGTACCAGGATTACCTGTCCTGCTGGGCTGAGGGCCAGGAGTTAAAGGAGCATATGCGATGCCACGCTTGTCCTCCCTCACTTTGGGGCCCCAAACAGAAGTGGGGCTAGAACTGGGGAGGAGGGCTTGGGGGCTGCTGGGAGTCCCTTCTGAAATCTGGGTGTTATATTTACTTTTTCATATTGGCAGCTGGAAGGGGAAGCCCATCCCAGCTCGGCATTGTTGTCTAACATGGTTAATCAGATTCTATAATCCTGCTGTGGAAATATTGGGCCTCACTCAAAACAATAGAGACCAAGAATATTGTGGTTAAACTTCAACCAACTGCC